CAAAAACATGATGCAAATGACCGCCATAAAAAGGGATGAATATGGCTGATGTTGCAAATAAATTATTTTAAGTGTCATGTGTTTGAAGCAATGTGCAAAATAGGGCACTATACACTATGCTTTCTTAAGCATCTAACACGGTGGAATTCTGCAATACAATCCTCATTTGCATTCTTGAAAAAGCTATGTATAATTATAATAGTCCATAGTGCTAGCACTTTCAGAAAACAGCACATAAAGCGATATTAACTAGAGAGACCTGATTATTCACAAATTCAATTACCCTACCCCCCACCATCATATATTCATAAATAACACTACAGACATTATCTAAACCATCCACCGCGCAACACCTCTAGAAAACCAAAAAAAGAAAAAAGTTGGGATTGCAAGGGACCTGGTGAAGAGGAACGTTCTTATCATGGAGGAAAATTTTTGATGTTTTATCGAGAAAGACCTTGAGAATGGCGGCATTGTTATAGAGCTTCGAGTTACCAGCCCATCGCATGGAGATGACGAGTGCTTAACTCCATCTGTCTTCACTTATATGGCCTGGGGAAATGGCTCATACCATGGGAGAAACTATGTCACTAGCACAGGTACCTACCTTCTTATTCTCAACTTTCAACCTTTTTAGCAGTGGCTTTAGGGTGTTGTTATGCGGAACACAGAATAATATGAAACTATTATATTGATGTAACATATTGTTCGGTTAGGTTAAAGTTTAATACAAAATTGAGAGATAATATGAAGTCTACTCAATAAAAACAGCCTAATATAATTTTAATACATCAAATCAAATAACATATAATGCCTAGATTTTGGTCCACTCATGCTTTATGGTATTCCATTTCCACATACAAGGACATTTAAAGTCTGTACATATATTACAGTTACTTTTTTCTATAAATAAAAAAAAAAAAAAGAGAAAGAAACAAGCTTGATTTGTTTATATGCAATACATTTATACAACTTTAGACATTCAGCATTTTAACATAAGATTTACAGGATAATAATCTGCAATTTTCTTCATGCAGATTAGTAATAAGTCTATGTGGAGGTGTAAAGATAAAATGCTCAAATAAATTATTTCAAGATAATTAGCATGAAAACTATAAGAATGGTGACAACCTTTCCCACAAGAGAATGTCTAGAATGCCTTGCTGTTCCTCCTTTTCAAGTGATCATTGATTAAACATTTTGATTTATCATGAGAACCTGTGTAAAAAATTCACTAGCAAGCATGATCCTGGACATCTAATTTCACATTGAATGGTTCTGTAACTATCAGAAGAAATGGTATTACTTCAACTCATCATTTCTATTCATACAAAAAAATCAATATAAATGACGAAACTTAATATAATGTTTACTATTTGCCATCATTACCTAAGGAATTTGAATAGAGCATCAGTTGTATAGTGCTATTATTGTAGGGGCCTTATATGATATAACTAAAACATTTTGAGATGATTATGTGACATCTGTTGCAATTTCTTTCCTCTGTTGAATCTATAATGTTTGTTATAAAAACAAGATACAGTGAAAAACCAAAGGACAGTGTTAAAGAAAATACAATTAACAAAAATATATCAAAACACTGGATTTTGTCATAAGGTACTTGAAAATCTTGATATGTATACTGAGAAAGAATTATCTAATAAATTATTGAAAATTTGAAACCTGTATATCTATACAACATCAATAATGCACAATCTCATGTAACTACACCCCAGAAACACTTTACCCACCTAACTATAATTATACAACACAGAAGACAGACAACATAAACTACACTCTACTGCTAAACAAGACCAGTATTACAAAATACAATTCAAAACCTAACAAAACATTTAATCAGATTTACTTCAGTCAGCTTTGCCTACTTTCATCTATTTTTCACTTGCTTTGAGTTCTTGCATAAATATAAAATTATGTGTGCATTCGTTCCATGTGCACATGTCCATGTACAGGTGTGCGTTCCATGCACAAGTGTATGTGAATATTCACGTGCATGTGTGTATGAATGTGAGTGTACATATGCATGTTTATGTGAATATGCTTGTGTGTGTGGTTGTGAATGTGTGTGCATGAGCATGTATGAGTGTGCTTAAGCATGTGCATGTATGAGCAAGTATTTACATGTGCTTGTGCATGTGTGTGCATGTGCAAGAGTGAGTGCTTTTACGTGTGGGTCTGTCTGAGGACATTCGTGAATCAATATTTACTTATAACAATTATGAAAAAAAACATTATCAACCCATATCCATCATCTTCATAAACTGGGTTACTGGCTATCTACTAGGACTTCATATTATGAAAATGGTTAAGGTTTCCCATGCTTGGATATGGTAAACCTTATTTATCAACAATATCAATAGTAAGAGCGAGTTTCTTAACCCCTAAAGTACTAACCTTAATAAAATCCAATAGGAAACAGCAGTTTTTATGTTCATCACAAATAAAAGGAAGTGTCTTGATTGCCTGTATTTCCATAATA